AATAAACACATATTGCGCAGGTATGTGGTGTAAATTGCAACAGGCTTGGAAAAGACAAAGATGAAAAAGACATAGAACCTTAACTTGCACTCCTGAGACTTAGCATTTAGTAGACAAGAGAGACTTGTGAACAATTAGCAAAAGTACAAGGTAGAATGTCATAACTGCTCATGTAATTAGCTAATCTATTCACTAATGCTAAAAAAAAAAAAGATATTTGCTACAATGATCACAGAGAAAGAAGAACTGCTTTCCACTTAAAAGGCCAGCGAACGCTTTGAAGTAAGACAGGTAAAGTAGTTCAGAAAGGCAAAAAATGGCAAGAAGGTATTTCAGGTGGAGCCTGAGCAAGCACCTGGAGACCACAGGTGCCAATTACCCTGAGAAGACATGGAGGTGCATAGGGCAGCTACCGGGCTGCCAGTGGGGGAGGATGTGACGCAAGCGTGGAAGCTTAGTTATGGTCGCCTCAGCTGTTGGAAGTCATCCTAAGCATGCGCATGAACTTCATTCCGTGCCCCACTAGTCCCCAAACTGTTTTCCAAAATGTCTAGTGGTTTTCCCAGGGGTTATTAAAAAGTTGCACCATCTGAAACCTGGGGAAGTGTACGTATTGTGGTCCTTTTTAAAAATTGTGTATGCATGTTAGAAAGTTAAAAACTGAAAAACACAATGATAAGGCAGCAGTTTTAGTAGTTTAACTCTCAAATTTTCCCAGCTCTACAATTCTTTCCACATTTATTTGTTTGGCCATAACTTTTTGTTTGTTTCTTGAGACCCTGTCAGGGTGGACTGAAACTCACTATGTAGCGCATGACTGGCTTCGCTTCAGTATGACCCACCCGCCTCAGCCTCCGAGGTGCTAGCATTACAGGTGTGTGCCACTCCATAACATCTTTAACACCATAAGGTTCTAATTTTCTGAAGAATATAGTCTGTGAAATGCTATTGTAGGCAAAGAAGACTCATCATTTACAGTGCCTGGGTGGCAGGGGTGGGTCTGAGTCATGTCTCATGTATGCTTGTATATTGCCCAAAAAAATAAAAAGGAGTTTTAAGCAATATGGAATCACCACTGAGGCCCCTGAAACCAAGCCACCAATGACTTAGCCCTACAAAGGAGGAAAGAATAGTCAATAGGGCAAGGAAGATGACTTTCTTCTGTGTAATAAAATGCACGTAACACAAAATTTATTATTTTAACCTTTTTTAGCATAGGGTATCACTTTATAATTCAGACTGGCCTTGAACTCACTATGCAGCCCAGGATGACCTCTCACTCATAGCAATTCTCCTGCCTCAGTCTCTCAAGTGCTGGGATTAAAGGCGTGTGCCACCATGCCCAGTGTTTTAGCCATTTTAAGTACACATTTCTGTAGACTGACATTGTCAAGCAACGATCTCAATTATCCATCTCCAGAACCTTTACACCAGCTCAGTCTAAAACAATGACCTCCAACCCCTCCCACAGTCTCACCCTGATAACCACCAGTCTACATCCTGACTGTATGCATTTGACTGTTTCGGGGAACTTGCAAAGTGAATCATGCAATATCTGGTATATTTCACTAAATAATACTTCCAAGATGGGTCATTTTTAAAGGAGGTAGCCAGAAATCTGTGGAGAAAAGAATAAAGAAGGAACCACATATACTTTAGGCCTTAGTTAGAATTACTCACAAGAAACCAAGCAAAACAAAACTAAATGTACAACACTGAAAGATATAAAAGCATTAGCATTCTCCTCCAGAGGTTAATCTTCTTATAAGAAGGGCAGAAATGTACAGAGCTTTAAGATACATCTTCCCTGTCGTGTAATTCCCTGGAAACTTATGGCACACACTGTCATTTGCTGGAGACTAATCAACATCATAGTGGCCTTCAAAGGGCTTTGCTTCTGTTTAAATATCCAGCATATGTCAAACATCACAGAATCTACTGACGCTACTGTACGAGATCTACCGGAAACCAGAGCACAGGCTGAGGATCATGTTTTCATTTGTCCCAAATGGCTGCCTTTCAAGTCCTAAACAACAGAAAATCACCTGATTAGCACTCAAATATCAAAGGCAAAAGCATGACTCTTTCGCTGTTCTGGGAAGCTGTCATAAGGCAACCACATAGCAAATGTAGGTGTGCTTGTTAAAAGAAAGAAAAGCTGAGAAAAAACTATCAAAGCACATCTCTTTTGTTCCCCTTAAGTTTAATTTTATTTTTCAGGTTTACTGGTACATGTTTGAGATACACAAAGACAACATTCCTTGTGAGGAGATAATGTGTATGACTCATCTTGATTGCTTTTCTTCATCTCCTCCCTTCCCATCCTCCATCCATTGATCTCTTGCCATTCTGCAAAACATCTCTACTTTCCATTATCTACCTTCTATTTTTCTCCTTAACAGTATTTCCTACACATCTACTCCATGAAATCATAGCCCCAAACCCACATCATTCCATATCTAGAATGGCTGCCATATTGTTGTAACTGGTTTTCCTCTTGGTCCTAACACCCTAACTCTTATCACCTTTTTCTCTCCACAAAACCATCACAGGCTGGCCAAACAATCCTCCTCTATAAAGTATTGCCAGCCAAGAGTGATAGCACATGCCGGTGATCCCAGCACTCTGGAGGCTGAGGCAGGAGGATCACCATGTGTCTGAGTGCCAACCTGAACTACATAGCAAGACCCTGTCTCAAAAAATAAGTAAAATGAAATAGTATAACCATAGTGATGTGCCTCTGTCAAAATCCCTAATCCTCTAGTAGGGTAAACAGGCTCAACATCACAGTCCTTTATTCAACCTCTCTGTAGGACACATCCTACAGCCAGAAATCAGACATTCCATCTTCTTGACATAGGGCCAACCACTCCCTCAGTGTGACTCACAGACTGCTTTTGGATGTGAACACTGGAATGTGCAGCCTTTTCAGAAAATAGTGAAAAGGAGATAGTAAGTCTGTATACTGAGGTTCATGTTCCACTTTTTACCTGTATTTCCCAGGGATGGTTCTACTGTCTCTCTGTGCCTCTAGTTCCCTGCCCTCTCAAATGGGGCAATAACAGTGTCTGCATCACTAGAGGCACTTATGGGTTGCCTCACTGAACACAGCACTGGGCCAGATGCTGTTTGCAATGGCTGACATCATATTGTCTCGTGCAGAGTATTATACAGACAGAGGTGATAGCTCAGTGGCTTGAGCACCTGCCTGGCAAGCACAAGGTTCTGAGTTCCATCCCCAGTAGCCCCCCCGCCTTGTAAAAAAAAAAAGGCAGGACACTGATTCTCCACAGAGTATCACACAAGCTATGTGGGCCTCTCAGGGATATCTTCTAGGCAGAATAATCAACTGAAATTAAATAAAAATGTAGTCACCTTGACATGTCTGTGGTCCCAGCAGCCTAGAAAGCTGAAGCAAGAGGATCATAAGTTCAAGCCCAGCCTACACAATTTAAGAAGACCTTGTCTCAAAGGGGTTGGAGGATAGGTTGTATATTGAGAAAGTACTGTGTTCAGTCTTCAGCACCCACTCCCCAAAATGTAGCCAAATAGTGGGTGCTTGTGTTTAGTTCAAGAAAGCTTATTACGGTTGAACTTTTCAAACTGCCTAGGGATCTCTATGATTTTCAATTACCAATTTCAGAAGCAAATTTTTCATCTGTTCATTTTTTTTCTGCTTGTAGTAATCCAATATCTCAACCAAATAAAAGAGAAAAGAAAGAGATTGATGACCAAGAAATGTCAGCCCTTTGTGGAGGTCTCTTTGGTTTGTCTGCCTCCTTATGCAGCCCTCACCTTGCCTCTTTGCTAACGAAGCCATCATAGAATCACGTGTGACGCCTTTCCAAAGATCCATCGTTCTGTTTCCTCACCTTGTTTTTCCCTGGGCATGTAGATACAGTGTCCTTTTCTCCAGCTTTGCCAGTTGAACAAACCCCAAGACATAGAACAAAAATGAATTACTAGACACATTGGGATCCAAGTCCAGGTAAGCGAACACCTCTTTTGCACATCCATTAGCTACTCTAAACTTTGGGGGGGGGGGCAGGTTGTTTGTTTGTTTTTTCTCCATTTACTTTCATTTTTTCCATAATTTTATTGAGAAACAAATAGCAATGAGACAGTTTCAAACCAAATTGGTAGGACAGTTTCAATAATTAACACAATGCATACATTCTTCCTAGTGGTTGATTGCTGTACAAGATGCAGACATGATATCTTATGTACAAACACTATTAGAAAAAATTCCTCTATTCATTAAGAGAATGGAACTATCCTAACCATTTTGAATACACAGATACTTTGAAATGTTGTTTTGTTTTGTTTGTAAGTTCCTGTCATGCATTCACATCAACTTCTTTCATCATAACGGCTCCTTTTCTTCGAACTTCCAAATCCTTCCTCACTTTCCCGTGTTTCCCCAACTCAACAGTGAATTTTTACATGTGGGCCTAAATTTAGGTCACTTGAGCTGAGAAAGAGAGAAGAGTGACCTCCAGTGAGAAGAGTAAAGCAGACGCACAAAGGGCTTTTCCTGCCTCTCTGTGACACTGAGGCCCCTACTGTCAACGTAGGTCTGTGAAGACACGCTGCTCTCAGAGCCACCAGAGACTAGCACGTTTATCTCAAGCCAGCTCAACTTAAGCTTTGGTTCTAACGCAACAACTCTTTTCAGGTGCATGTGTGTATCTAAAACCAGAAAAAAATATAAAGTAAGTCTTCTACACCATGTTTGCCTAGTTTTGGGGGGTTTGTTTGGTTTTTTGGGGGTTTTTGGGGGGGGTGTTTTTGTTTGCTTGTTTTTACTTTAGCAAAATGATAAGGCTTATTTAATTACTTCCTGGAGCTATGAGAAGCAGCCGCTAATCTGTCAGCATGATGCATCCTGAGAAGTGTGGAGAGCTCACCCGCCAAGGCACAGTCTCCTCTCACGCACATTAATGTACTCTACCTAGAGTATGTCTCTCTAACTGGGGGTGAGAGGCTCCCTCAGTACTGCTTCAAATTTGAAGCTGTCTTTTCTGGTCACAAATACATAACAGTTCAAGGATCATCCAACAGCTTAAGCTAAAGACCTGGGTGACTGAACCTAGGATAGGATATTGAATATTAGAGACCCATGAAATTACATAGCCAGGGTCTGAATTAATAGGATACCCCTGGTGTCAGCTAAATATCTTATTTTCAGTGCTTTCCACTCTCTCATAACTCTGAGGCATCTACTTTTTTCTAATTTTAGCCATCAGCTTTAATTTTGTCATGTAAATATGCATGCTTTTCAACTCTTTAAATGATACTTTTATATATGGCTTAATTTTTAAATCTTTTCACTTTCTCTTAAATAATAAGCTTTGCAATAGTTTCGCTTTCTCTGAAAGTAAAATGGGTTACATGACCATCCATGTTTTTGCCTGGACTGTCTCTAAATTTGATTTAGTGATAAGCCTGCCCTTTATAAAACTCTACTGCATCATACTCACCAAAAAGAAATGAAATTCTGTTTGGTTTCGTAGCCAGCCAAATCAAAATTAAACGTGTTCCCTGTCTCTGATTTACCTTCCAAAGAGGATTCAGCGATCTGGGTGAAAACAGCCGCTAACTTAGATTTTCCTGATTTAAGAGTCTCCATATAGCTCCCAAGCAGCAAGAATATATGAACTTTGGATATTTGTTGTAAAAGAAAAAATACAATGTAGAAGAAGTCTGAGGGCGCTGGGGGAGGAATCCGCGGTTCTCTGGCTGATGGAGGACGCGTGCGGCGGGGCCCCGTCCCCCTCTGGCTGAGGAACGGCTCCTGGAGCGCTCCCTCCCGCCGCTTCGCTCAGGTGCTGCGTCGGCCTGCCTGCGAGGAGCAGCCGCGATCGCTCGCTAACGCACAGTGTCACGATGATGGATCGCAGCCAGCCCCTCCGCTCGGGGCTAGACGCCTGCGATCTGTCACTGCGTGCAAATTTCTTCTCACTGGATCTGGGAAAGAGAAATGAGGACGATAAAGCTGCACATTGTTTTATATCCCAGTTTAACTAAATGAACACGCAACCCTATTAAAAGGGAGGTGCACGTCGGTGGAATTCGGTGTGGCCCGCGGGTTGCTTATGCGAACCGGGAAGGCCTCTCCGAGCCCTCGGGCTCCTCTCGCTTTCCGCGGTTTGCACCTGTACAACATCGCTTGAAAAGCACGTAGGAGCCTTTCCCTTAAACGCTACTTTATATCTGCTCCCTTCGGCTTGAACCCTTGACACACTCCTCCGCTCCTCAGACTTGCAGAGACCCTAATGCAGGGACGATTCCTCGGACTCATTTCCAGCGGTGACATTCAGTTCCAGCAGGAGCCCCAGGGAACGTCTACTTTATCTCCACTGAATATCAAATCGCATTTCACCACATAAAAGTTAGAAAGACTTTATCAGTTTTATTAAAGCTGTAAATTTTGTTTTTAAAACCTGCCAAAGCCTCTGCTCCTAGAATTTTCTAAGAAAATTAACGTTTTTGCTCCTGGACCTGTCAGGCAAAAGGGATGCTCCCCACAGAGCAGACAGGTGAACGGTCCTAAGTCCTGGTAGCCAAGTGTGCTAGGATACATTCTTGGCATAGTGCTCTAGAAAGCAATTTTAAAAAGAAAGAGAAAAAAAAAAAAAAAGGAAGAAAAAGAAAACCAATACAGACACCGGCAAGACAGCTCAGTGGTCTAAAGCACCTGCTTAGGCAAGCATACAGGGACCTCAGATTGATCCTTGGCACCACATGCCACACCAGCCTGCCCCCCAGGGTGGGCTGAGCCAGCCACAAAAAAAGAAAAAGAAAAAAGAAAGAAAGAGAGAGAGAGAGAGAGAG